TACAATAATGAATTTGGCAATGAGAAACACCAATAAAAGAACAGAGAGACAGAGACAGAGGAGGAGAGGCAGGAGGAGGGGTTGGTAAGGAGGAGGGAGGGCGAGGAAGGAAAAAATGAGACTTCCACACCTAGTTTCCAAAGCTAAATTCCAACTAAACACCTAACATAGTACAATGCAATAATTAATAAGAGAAATAGCTTCCATTTGTTTTCTCCTATGTACCAAGCACTGTGGTAGGCATATTTTTTATTTCTCCTAACAATCCTGCAAAGTAGGGATTATTATTCCCACTTCTTGAATTGAGGAAATAAAATGATGAATTTAAGTAATGAGCCTAGGATCAAACCACTATAAGTGCTAAATCAGTATTAAATTCTACGGGGAGGGAGTATTGATGGTGATAAGATGACCACGATTTCCAGTTAAACATGACAAATTCAACATCTGCATTTCCCTCACTCCCTCCCAAAACACCAGTACAATGATAGTAAAGACCTTAAAAGGCTTAAATCCTTAGGAAAAAAGAGAACTAAATGAGAGCAAAAATACTAACAAATTTGGAAACTGGAAAGCAGATGGTTAAATGGCAATGAACTTGAGTAGACCACAAAAAAACTGGAAGCTAAGTGCTTATGGGAATGGGGTGGGGGTCCCAGTAAGGCTCCAAAAATGGAGGCATCTGACAGCTCTGGGGCAGGGAGCATGGGACAAGGTGAAATTTCCAACAGAGGATTATTGGAGAAATTCCCAGATTTTTTGTTCCTCACTCCAGCAGAGGTTTGGAGGATTCCACTCTGGGAAAATAGACTGGCTCAACAGAACAGACCTATAGGCATTGATGTTGGGGGGTGGGGGGGGTCTCTTATGAAATGGCTGGGCCTTTCCTGGTAATCCTAGAACAAAACCTAGCTCTCTGCTCTCATCTTCTACCATGTCCCATACTGAACTAGAGTAGAAGCAACCTCACTTTATGAGAAAAAACTGGGATCTGACTGGTTACTTAACCAAAAAAGTTAAAACAAAGAATCATGGAGTATTATATATACTAAACTTAGATACTTTATTCTAACCAGTTCAGTCTCCAAATTTTTACTGGAATGCCAATGCATTTCCTTTGCGGGAATATCCATTGATTGGAATTGCACTGTGTGTTTCTTGCATAAACCACACCCCTAATGTAATCTTTCTAGTTTGTTTCTTTAAAATAGAATGGAAACTTAAAGACACATCTGAAATAAAATGACTGCAGAATCCTTCAAGATTTAAAAAATTCATTCCAGCTCCTCTCTTATAGTGATTTTGTCCACACCTAATTAGCACTTTTAAAAGTTAGTGACTTTGGGGGGCACCTGGGTTGCTCATTTAAGCATCCGACTCTTGATTTTGGCCCAGGTCATGATCTCAGGATCGTGAGATCAAGCCCCACATCTACTTGTCCCTCTCCCTCTGCTCCTCCCCCTGCTCACGTTCTGTCTCCCACCCCCCCCAAATAAATAAATAAAATCTTTTTTTAAAAAAGTTAGTCACCTTTTGGCAAGCCTTTCCAAAGTATTCAACTATGAATGTATTCTAGAAACTCTCTTAGTACTCAGATTTTAATTTATAAGAATAAGTTAATTATGGAAATACAGTAACAAAAGCACAGGCATAAATCATTTTGGAAATAACCATGACTTTCAGAGAACATTCTCTGCCTCCTTGGCCTGAGTTATTTGCCCCTTCTTAAAATGTCCCTCTCATGATATCATGAGCAATGGGGGATAGATTCCATAGATTAAACAGGACAGTGTAGACCATGGTGAGGAATTTGAAATCAACTTTACAAACAATGAGAAGTAACTCATCTAATGGAGGAAAGCAATATCATTTGTGTTTTTAAAAGATCCTTCTAACAATGGTGTGGAAAACATATTTTAGAGGAGAAAGAGAGAAAGTAGGGTAACAGGAACTGTACAACATTAGAAGATTTGGAGTATATTTTGGAGATAGAGGTGTCAAGATTTGCTGATGGATTGGCTACAGAGAGTAGGGAGTTTTGGAATGACTTCTAGGTTATCCAAACTTGAGGGGGAATAGAAGTGGCATTTATTGAAAAGAGGAAAACTGGCAGGGACAGGTTTGAATGGGGGAAAGGAACCGGTCTATCTGAGCCATGTTAAGTTTCAAAGGAGATTAGCTCTCCAAGAAAAGATGTTAGGTAGGTGGCTGGATGGGAGTTCGAGGTTCAGCAAAGAGGCCAGGGCTAGAGAGAGAAATTGGTTCTTATATTAGTTCCTTTGACTTCAGCCTTAAACTTCTATTCCTTGTTTCATCTGCTTTGGGTAGTATCTCTTGGGCACTCATGTTAAACAAAGATATTAGCAGCCTTCTTTCTACTTCCCATCTTCTGTCAACTATTGATGTGCTTTTCTTGTTAAGGCTAATAACATAATTCTGTTCTGTACACACATTAAAAATGTCCATACTGTATCTATATAATGCTAAAAGTTGAAAACTACAAAATAGCATTTATAATATAACTATATGAATTTTGTTCACTTCAGGGCCAAATATTGTGCTGGGACTACATTTTTTTCTCACTGTGTCCAAAGCCTGGTGCCACTTGAAAAAGAATGGTTCTAGTATTTGTGTTAAATAAACCCTCTTTTCTAAGTAAAAAAAAATTTTCCCCTGGAAACTTTGAAGACATAATAACTCCATTTTACTTTTGCATCAGCACTTCTTGATTCCATACTGATTCTTATTTCTTAGACAGTTACTAATTTTTCTTCCTCTTTATGGAAACCTACAGAATCTTCTTTTTGTAATTATTGCTTTGCAATTTCATAATGATATATAGGTTGTATCTTTTGTCCCTTCGTACTTAGAAGCACTCAGTAGACTCCTTTAATGCCTCACTCTCTTATACTGGGAAACTTTTTTATTATTCTAGAGGCTGTGTTATTCTATTATTCTAGAGTACTGGTTTTAACTGGAGGTAGACTGAGTTCAAATACCAGTTATTTGCTCTGTAGCCTTGAGCAAATTATTTAAACTCTGTGCTTGCTTTCTTATCTGAAAAATGAGAGTATTAATAATATTACCACACTAATATATTCCTTAGGGTTGGAATGAGAATTGAATGAGCAATATTTAGGAAGTTCCATAAAGTGCCTGGCAAATAGTATGTGCTCAATAAGTTTTATGTGTTGATAATTATCTCCACTTTCAATTTTATTCCTTGCTCTTCTGGAGCTCCAGAAAAGTTGGACCTCCCAGACTGATTCTCCACTTTGCTTTTATTCTCTCATATTTTCTAGTTTTTTGTTGTTGCTGCTGTTGTTGTTTTATGTTCTGTGATGTTTCCTTGACTTTACCCTCCAAACATTAAAAAAAATAATAATTTGGCATAATTGTAATCTTTGGCTATCCATTCATAAACTAAGAATAGGATAAGAGATCAACTTGAATTACAAAAAAAAAAAAAGTAACTGGTGTAGTAATTGACTAGCTGGCTGAGACACTGGGCTCCATTAGTCTTAATGTTGGTGTCGAATAGAATGTTCATGACTGGAGTGATTATTTAAAAGACAGACTTTCAGGTCACCCTTGGATTCTCTCCTTGGATTCATTCTTGCCTTCTGCTTTGCCTGCTGACTGAGCCTCCTGCTACTTTGAGGTTCTTTCGGGTAGATTGGCTCTTTGCTGCCTTTCCCTCTATCTTTTCTGGGCTATTGCTTCTTTGCTTTCTTTAATCCATCAACAAGTTTTCGTTCCTTCCCACACTGCAGAAAGTTCTTCTTTCCATTCTCTTCATCTTTATGGGTTGATTCCTTTACTATCACTTAATAGAGGCTTGGGAGGTGGGGGATTTAGATGTCTATGTTCAGTCGACCATCCTGAATCAGAAGTGCAAACTTCATTACCTTTCTAAAGGAGAGATCACGTTACAGATTATCTAACAGTCCTCTCCATTAACTACCACCCTTGAAGTGGAAATCATGCTGAATATGACCATTTTGTAATGTTCTGATCTTCAATCTACCTGCCCTTTGTGTCCTTAACTAAACTGGCCAGATCACAGAGGCCTGAAGGTTAAAATTAAGTAAGGGACAGCTGACTGATAAAAGTAACCCTTTGCTATCTACTGTCATGTTCAGAAAATTATTTGAAGTTTAGCTTATGAACTTTTATATGGAGTGACAACCAGAGTGGGTACTCAATAAATACATTTTTGTTTTGACTTGATCCTGCACTTCTTTAAGACCTGCTAAATTCTACTCCAGCAGTAGAGATGACTAAGACATGTGGTAGGAAACAGATAGAAACTGACTAAATGTGAAAGACTTAGTTTATTATAATAACGTTGTCAGGTAAATAACTTTAAGATCTGACAATATTTTAACAGTCCATGTAACAGTATTTCTTACATTGTTTTATGGGATACCAGTCATGTGAAATAATCTCCTCGAAAAAGGGTGAGGTGGTCAATATTGGGGAAAACAAAACATTCTTTATTCCTCTTCTTGGAATACATTATGCTTGTGCTTACAGTAAGGGTTTTAAGAGTTCTGTGGCTTAAAAAATCTGTTTAGCTTTATAAATTCAGTTTTTACAAAACTTATTTGACCACTTCCCTCTTTTTTTGAGCATCATAAGGAACTAGTGTCCCTCAGAGTGCGCTTCAAGAAATACTGCCTACAATTTTACTAGTTATACTTTTTAAAATTTGGTGGCAACAATAATGAGCAGAATGCTACTAAGTATGTGACTTGGAGGCTGGTGTTATCAATGATCAAGCCAATTTTTTTATGTTATAGTAAATATGTTTGGAGATAAGCTGTCCACCAAGAAGGGGTAAAGAACAAACTTGTTAAGGGTTGCATTTGCTGTATGTGTATTTTCAACTCCTATAGAGAAGTAATTTTCTCAGGAGATGCCAGTACATCTAATACACCTTAATTTGATAGCAGTAATGTGAGAGAATGGTAAAGAGGTTTTATCAGAGCTAAACTTACCTATTCCACAAGAAGGCTTTTGCAACTTGCTGTGTTTGACTGGCAAAACCAATGGACATGCTGGTTTTTGAAAGTCACTCCTCTGGGTGCTCTTAATGTCATAAGATGGTTGGAAGGGATGCTCCAGTCTTTTACCATGTGACCACCAGTCACCCTTTATGGGAAAAAAATTGGAAACACAAAATTGAATACCTTAGAACATTTTCATGTGCTGCTTGATATCTGAATGTTCAGTGATTTGATTCAATAAGTTATTGGATATTCTAGGACTAAAATGGAATCCTGAAATCTAGGAATAAGTATATTTTTACAAAGACTGAATTTTTTAAAAGGTACTTAAAAGTGAATTATCACATATTTTTAGCTAAAAGATAGCTGCTAAATTCTTAAACTACTTCCTGTCAGCAGAAGTGGAGTGGTAAAAATCAACCAAGTAGTTATATTTCTATATTTTGTATTACCATTTTATTATATTTGTACATACACGTATATATATATGGCTTGATTTAATCTAAAAATTATGTTCTATACTTTTCATTATGAAAATACAAATAATGTATTATCATCTAAGATGGTGCTTTTCATAGTTTTCAGTCCATGATCCACACCATGAAATAGATTCTGCCATGCAAGAACACACAATGCATACACAAACATAAAACTCAGTTTCACAATATTTATTCTTACTACATGCAGTACACTTGACTATTTTTCTATTTTATCATTTATCTCTTCCATTTCATTTTATAATGCTAGTTGCAAACCACAGTGCTTTATAACCCACCTAATGCCTCAGTTTGAAAAACTTTGTTCTAACGAAAAATATCTCCAATGTTACTGAATTTTTGATGGTAAAACCTGACTTAAGTACCCAGGAAAGGGAGAATTGATAGATTCTCCATGAGCACATATTAGAATCTGATCTCTTAGAAGTTGTGAAAACAGTGAGGGGAAACTTACTAAACTTAATTCTAAGTAAACATTTTTTTTTTTTTTAAATCTGGTTGATCAGGTAGACTTAAGACAACCTTGGGAGGGAGCCTGGGTGGCTCAGTTGGTTAAGCAACTGCTTTCGGCCCAGGTCATGATCCTGGAGTCCTGGGATCGAGTCCCACATCAGGCTCCCTGCTCGGCGGGGAGTCTGCTTCTCCCTCTGACCCTCTTCCCTCTCGTGCTCTCTATCTCTCATTCTCTCTCTCTCAAATAAATAAATAAAATCTTTAAAAAAAAAAAAAAGACAACCTTGGGAAAGGGCAACTGTGACACCTGGGAGTTCTTGGACAATGAAAGAAACTTTGGGTATAATCGAACACCTACTTTGGGCTTTGAGGAGAGAGATCGGGCTTTTAAAAAATCAATCATGATTTTGTAGTCAAAGACTTGAAAAATATGATTCAAGGGGGATGAATATGAGATTCACATAAGTAAAATTCTGACAGTGCAATTGAAGCTACAGTTCTATGAAAAGTAAGAGGCATTTGAAGACATCTATCTGACTCCACAGGGAGTCAGCTCCCAAAGTAGCTTAGTTTCTAAAAAGACAGGCATGTATAAAAGAGGTGTACAATATCAAATTAAAAAAAATAATTTCATGGAGTCACCTTGTCAGGAGATTGTCAAGAAGCTTAGAAGAAATTCATGAAATACACCAAAGGCAGCAAAAATAGGGTATTCTGGGAGAAAAAAAAAATCTTATATCAAAGAAATCACAGAAAGTCTAAGAATTTGAAGAAGAGTACACAATTCAGAGCTAAAAGTCAGAGCTCCTCAACTTAGGTTCTTCGTTAAGGGAAATCATCTTCAAGCTGAAAAAGATAGGATTAACATGGACCTAAGAGGGAACTGAACCCTCACTAATGCAAGAGAGAGTTAGACCTCACTTGGCAACTTTACATGAGTGCTAGTTTTTAGGCCAATGACAAATTGTAGCCCCGGGGTAATGAATACGTTTGCAGAGATCAAAGGAATTTAGGAACCAGGGAATTTTGGAGAACAGGAGAGATGGGCTGAAAGGTGAATTACAAAACTTAAGACTACTTGATGTCGATCCTGGGAATTCTAGAACAGATTACTAAACAGATGGTGTCTTCTCACTATCTGGCTGAAAATAGTCACATCTAACTGTTGTCAGAATGCCTGCTTCTTGCAGGCCTCCTCCACTGCACAATTATGATAGTGCTTATTATGCCCCAACGTCTCAGATTTATAGGCCTTTTCTCATTTACCCTCACCATGATTCTGCGAGTAGATATACCCACTTCATAGATGAGAAAACTGCTGGGAGATTAACTTCCCCAAAGGGTATCCCTAGAAGGCAACAGAGCTGTCCAAGTCAGACCCCTGCCCCCATCCATGCATGCCTCTAATTTCTGTGCTACATTGCTTTATCAAATCTGCTGTAGAATGCAAAGCCACAGAAGCACAAACCTACTTAAATTATTTCAGAAGTAACAATTGAGAGATTTCAAGTATATTGAGAAAGATTTTCTATGATAAGGTTTTAAGGAATACACTGTATATTATCTTCTTTTGTTGATCAGAAACTTATTTTGCTAACACCCAAGTTACTGGGTAAGTGACTCTGGGATGAGCAAACTGCTAGCAAATGCCTGGCAGCATTCAATTATTTTTTGAACAAGAGTATATTGCAAAAGTTACCCCAAAAGCAGAGATATCAATTCACCTCTCAAAATTTCTTATGAATTTAGAATTTTACCAAAATGGTCTCTTTAGTTTCACAAAATATAAAGGAAATAATGAACAATGTTTCCTCAAGTGTGACTGATGACTTGAAGATCTCAAAGCTGGAGGAAGTACTCTGATGAGTGTTGTAAGTGGGATGAAGCTTCACTTCAGCAGAATGAAATCCTACAGTTCAAAAAATGCTGTTTTTCTGTTTTCTATTTCTGGATGGTCTGCCCTTTGCCTGAAAAGTCTGGTTTGTTCCTGGAAGAGTGAAAATGTATATGGGCCTGCGCACATGTGCATGCCATGTTGGTACAAGCATTTGCTCATAAAAGATTATAAGATTAAAGAGATACGTGGGAGCTTGTTTTCTTCCTTCACCCCATGTTGAAGGGAAAGACTAAGTATAAAAATTTACTGCACCATCACTTGAAGTGGATTGTGAGGGTTGATATGAATTATTTATGATGAAATAAGCCAAACTGGGAAAAGTTCTCTACTGTGATTGCTTTGTCTAGGCTTCAGGGGTCAGTCCAATTCCTGCACATTGTGGAAGGGGTTTTACCTAAAGAGGTGGTTGCTTTCAGTTCAAAACTTTGGACCCAGAGAAAGCAGGATGCCTCCCCTTCTAGCCCAAGACGGTCTTTCCTGCTTCAGGGTAACAGTCATTGCAGCTCCATGGTATGGAGACATCTAGAGATCCCTGAGGAAGAGACTCCCACTAACCCCCACCCCTGTAAGACCTGATGGCCATTATACTGTGAACTCCTTAGCCACCTTTGGAAACCACTGTGAGGCGGTCTTTGTTATACTTCTGCTATCTCTAAGCCTTCAGAAAGGCATTAGGAGACATTAATTCGTTTTCATTCTTTGGGAAATTAAGGGAGAGTCTTGGGCGGAGAAGTAATAAAGGCAATTGGGGCAACCTGGAGAAGCCAGTTAAGAGAATGCAAGAGGTGGTAGGTAGAACTCCACAGCAGCCTGACAAAAATGGCTGCCGGTGGTGGCGGTCCTCTGTGGAACACAAAATCCTCCTTGGGGGATTCCTAGGGAAATACGGACTTTTGACAACACTTTACAGAGAATCACGTTTTATTAGTGGAGCTCAAAGGCTTTAAAACATTGAAGTGTTATGGGAAACACTAGAGGTATGTTGTATCTATGTTCATCTCTATTTTGCTGTAGATACCGGGAGTGCTGAAAATACCTCTTTTTAAGCAACCCATAATGTCCCTGATAAGTTGTTCCTAAATTGTGTTCTGTGGAATACTAGTTCTGTGGCATATTAAAAGGTGTTATATAAAAGAGGTTTCCAAAGTTAAATAAATTTGGGAAATAGGTAAGTAAAGTGAAATAAGTTTATCACAGGATTTCTTAGAACCTTTCTATACAAATGGGATTTGTGAAGCTTTAAGATCTAAATATATAGCTTTTCCAAAATGTATTGACTTTGGAATGTTACTTTATTGAGCACATAGGCAGGGCTAATGCTCTGAAACATATACTTTGGAACATAATGACCTAGTATAATCTCTTTTAAAAACACAAGACCACCAAACTCTTGTGATTGGCAGTGACTGAGCTACAGCTCCTTTTTACTTTTTCTGGCACCCCCAATTTTATGTCCCTATATAGAACTGTGTGGTTGTTTTATTTAAATATCTTGTAAATAAGTAAAACCAACCAATCTGGTGTTAGGTTCTTAAGCTGTTATCTTAGCAAAACACATGAGAGCAGATGTGTCACTTTAAATATTAGGCAACATTATTTTCTTTACTCTTGCATTAAAGCCAGTACTACTCTAAACCAGTTAATTTTTTAAAACCACCAAACTAACCTTTAAAAAGAAACCTGTCATCTTAAATAAAGGAACAAAGTGTGCAGATACGTGAAACGAGCATTCTTTCATTACTCCTCGAGTCCATGGAAGTGAGTACTTATATTGCTGTTTCTGTTTTTTAAATATGAACAGTGCCTTCACTCCATGCCCAGAACAAATACGCTCTTAACTCTGTGATGCATCTTCTTTCTTTCTTTCTACCTCCTCACTCATGTCCACAAGCAGCCTCTCCTCCCTGTCCTCTTCATCTCAAACTTCCTTTTACCATCTCTTAAAGATCTCTGACTCAGTTAGCCTTTAGTACCCATAAACAAGGATCCTGCCCCTACTATGTTGCCGCATCTGGACAGCAGCTCCTAATATTACCTTTCTCAAGACACCTATAAACTAAGAGTAAAAGTAGTTGATTGATTTTTTGAGAGTTTTACATTTTATATCTCCATTCTCAAACCCATTTCTTTTCCTTAGTATCTCCAAGGTAAGGATGGGTTCAGTTAACAGGTTTTAATTCAGCCCTGACTTAGAGCTCAGGAAGTCACTCATTAACTTTTTTAAGAAACATGGGAACTTCACTAACCTGGATTTCTGGACCAGACTTATTTCCCCAGTGTAGGCCTGGACTAGCAATATCTCTTAAATCCCCCCAATAATTGCTTATTTATAAAACAAAATAGCCTTAAAATTGCCCACATAAGGTTTTATTACATGACATTAATGCATATTTGACTACATTAATTCCTGCCCCAAGAAGATCTCCCATTCACACACAGTGACCTGGTATGTTATCTATTTTAAGATAAGAACATTGGTTGTTACTGATGTGAAGATAGGTCACTAAAAGCAATCTCCATTTAAATGTTATATCACAACTACACATAAACTCATGTGGCAAAAGGAGCTTTGCCGCTGAGATTAATTTAAACATCTTGGTAAGAGGACATCATCCAGGATTATCTAGGTCGGCCCAATGTAATCACACCCATCCTTGGAAGAGGGAGGCAGGAGAGTCAGAGAAAGATTTGAAGATGCCATGCTGCTGGCTTTCAAGAGGAAGGGGCCATGAGCCAAGGAGTGCAGGCAGCTTCTAGAAGCTGGAAAAGGCAAGGAACTGGATTTTCCCTTAGATCCTCCAGAAGGAAACCAGCCCTGCTAATAGCCAATGAGACTGATTTTGAGCTTCTGAGCTCAGGAAATGTTGAGAATAAATTTGTTACTTTAAGCTAGTGTTTAAATTTGTGGTAATTTGTAACATTAGGAACAGGAAACTAACAGAATAAATTATACCTCAACAAACCTAAGTTTAAGGAAAGAAGATAATGAAATATATTTAGTACAATAGTGAATAAAAGTGTGATTTGACTAAACCAACAGTCCTGGGTCAGAAACATGACTGTGACATTTGCTCACCGTGTCATCTCAGGTATGTTAATTTACTTCTTTGTGGTATGTTATCATCTGTAAAATACTTCTAATACTACCCCCTAGAAACTGTTCCACAGATTAAAGGATATAACTTATAGAACACACTTAGCTCATCCCTAGCACTTCACACAATTTAAATAAATGGTAGCTATTATTTTATAGAGAGTATCATGGGAATTTTTTATATTAGAGTATGTGACACAAATACAATATTATAGATTTTTTCAGTATCTGCCAAGCACTCCTAAGTGGCTATAATCTGACCCAATCTAGAAAAATGGTTATTTGGATTCCTTCCCTTTTTATATATTGTTTATATGCAATAGTTATTTGGGAGAATAGTCTCAGGTTACTGCTTTTAACTATTGGATTATAAAAAGTATTAGTCTGAAATATGTCACATCCTTTATGTAGTCTGTGACCAAATTATCCTGCAAAACAGCTTCTGAATCTAAATCTGTATTTGTATATAAGGAACATCCATCCAACCTGCTTTTCTGGCCCTTTTTTGGGATCTATGTAGGGAACTGGTTCATTGAATGTTCTTGCATTTGTATGAATGAATTTCGCGTAATATACACGTCCTCTCCCAACACATGGTTTTGAATGTTGTATACTTTTTCCAGGTTTTTTGTCATGTTTGATTTCTTCTTTTTTTTCAGTTATATACATTATACCAGCATCTTCTATTTTATGCTCTCTGAAAAACAGAATAGTAAATGTATCTCAATGAGCATTTTAGGACTGTGTCATAATTGTATAAAATAAAATTTAAAAATATTTCAAGTATCAGTCAAGACAATTTAGGCTTTATTAATAGTTATAAGGGACTTGTGCAATTAAAATATGGAAGGGTATCTTCTCATTTTAAATCATATAAAAGAAAAAGGGATTTGTGTTAATAATGATTATTCATAACGATACACCAGCGCAGTGTACAGACTTTCATTTGCTTGGAATAAAGAAAGAGTAGTGATTTGATCATGGTTACAGATCCTGTTTGCAGCATTTTTCATGAAGGTGAGTTACATGCTAATCTTAACTCATCTTCTTTAAAAGTTAGTTACTTAGGGGGCGCCTGGGTGGCTCAGTAGGTTGAGTGACTGACTCTTGATTTTGGCTCAGGTCATGATCTTGGGGTCCAGGGATGGAGCTTGACTCTTGATTCTGGCTCAGGTCATGGTCTTGGGATCCAGGGATCCAGTCCAGCGTCTGGCTCCATGCTCAGTGGGGCGTCTGCTTGAGATTCTCTACTTCACTCTCTCCCTGTCCCTCCTTCCCTCAACCCACACACATACTCTCCCTCTCTAAAATAAATGAATGAATCTTAAAAAGAAAAGTTACTTAGTAAATTCAGTCACCTGGACAAGGATAGCTATTTAATTTTAAAAGTTCACTTGGCAAAACTTATAAAAGCTACCAAATGACCACTATTATTTATCTTTTCGGGAAAAGACCACTGTGTAGGCATGAGAAAAATCAATTCAATCTCATCACTTTTTGCTTTTAATAACTAGACTGGTACCAAAATGAACATTATTGAATTTTTTTAAATATTAAAAAATGTTTAGAAAGAATTTATAGAAAGTTTCTCTTTTAAATAAAGAGTGATAGACATTATTATAAAAGGCAGTATTTTAAAATTTCACATTCTTGGAAAATAAAGGAAAGAATTAAATAGATGAATGTGAATACTTTTTACATAGAAGCTTTTAAAATCAAAGCCCCAACCCATGGAAGGTGAGCAAACAAGATTCCAAATTTATAGAGAAAATGAGCAGTTCTGCTTAGTCTTGGCCCTTAAAATATAACCCCCATGTTACTTCAAACCAAAGCCAGGTTCATCTTTTCTATCATGTCATTTTTTTAGTGAAAACTCCCAAATGGCTTTGTGTTGCATTTACAGTGAATACTGTAATACTGCTTCTTTATCATAGCTCTGGGGCCCAGGGACCCAGCTCCAGCCAATCTCTTCGGACACACTGAGACCTCTCTCCCCTCACTTCTCCAGACAGCACGGCTGCTTTCAGTTCCTGGACACACCAGTTTTTTCCCTTCAAGGCATTTGCACACACTGTCCCCTCTGCCTGGACAGCTCTTCCCCAGCTCCCTGCACCACTGGTCCATTATCTTCAGGTCTCCGTTTAAAAGCCATCTCCTCAGAAGCTTTTCCTAGATTTCTCCCTTCCTGTCAAATGTAGTCTCTATTTTAGTACTTGCTTTCATAACACCATGATTTAGAATTTATGTACCTAGTTTTGTTTTTGTTTTGTTTTTTGGTAAGCACTACAAATACCCTTGACTAGTCAGTAACCTCCATAAGGGTGAGGTTGTGTTTCATTCATCATTATGTGGCTACCTGAGGAAGCATCTCGTTCACCACAGGTAAATGGACCGCCATTACAGTATTTGCATATTTCTGGTGAATCTGCTGGGATTGTTTTTTTGTCTGGCTTAGTGTAGCTGTATACTCCCAACCCCCACTACAGTACACATACAAACAACATTCGGCACCCTTGGATTCTAGCTCCCTGCAGCCCAACAAAAATTGCTCTCTGTAAAGGTTTTGGAAAAACTGATTACTGGTCAAGTGTGAATAATTTCTAAGGCTTTTTCTATTACCTTAAAAAAAACACATATCTCTGGAAAGGTCATAATCAATTTATTATATACATCTGATATCAGTTTTTTCCATCTGCTTCTCATGGTTGTAACTCAGCAATACACTTGCACTAGCATCACATACTTGAAGGAAGGTCTGACTGTGGCTACATGCTTGCTTACATATGCATTTGTTCAATTAAGTATTTGTGGTGTGAGTAGTTATAGATTAACACATAAATGTGAACTATATGATTCTGTAGTAATTTCTTACTAGAAGGAAACACAAAAACACTAATGGGCAGTGAAGAAAGTCAGACCTGGGTTGGAATCCCAACTCTGCCATTTAATATCGGAGTCTTGGTTTCCTCCTTTGCATGGTAGGGCAAGAATGCCTATTGAGAGAGATGTGACAATAACATTGAATAATTCATTCTTTCAACAGATATTTATTGAATTTTGTGCCTGGTGCTGCTCACGGCACTGAGGATAGAGGAGTGACAAAACAAAAATTCCTGCCCTCACAGAACTTACATTCTAGTGAGGGAAGGCAGATGGAGAAATCAAATAATAAGTAAAACATACAGTCTTTTGGATGGTGTTAAGTGCTGAGGACAACAATAGAGCAGGGAATGGGGAAAAGAAGTGCATGTATGTGAGAGAGAGGCTACATTTTTAGACAGGGTGGAGGCTGCATTATGAAGGTGGCAACTGAAAAAAGGAAAGAGGGGAGTGAGCTAAGAGGATATTTGAGGAAGGGCATTCTAGCAGAGTGAACTGCAATTGCCAAAGCATTGCAAAAGAAGCACCTGTCCTTAGGCGCTTCTCAAAGTATGGTCCCGGAAGTAGCTGCACTGACATCAATTTACCTTGTTAGAAGCACAAATTCACTGGCCCCATCCCAACCTGAGGCAGGTTCCCAGGAAACTGTTTTAACCAGCTCTCCAGGTGATTCTTATGTTGAGAACCACTATTCAGTGACAAAAATATAGGCTTTGGAAGCAGATACCCCTGGCCATGTGGTATTAGCTGTAACACCTTGGTCAATAGTTCTTAAAATTTAGGGTACATCAGAATCACCTGGAGGCTTCTTAAAACCCAGATTATTGTTCTCAACTCCAAATTTCCGATTCAGTATATCTATGGTGGGGAGCCTGCAAGAATATGCATTTCTAATAAGCTCTCAGGTGATGCTGGTTGGGGGGAAGAGAAGCGCACTTTGAGAATCACTGCTAGCACGGAGGCCTGCGTGCTGGAACCAAGTGGAGTCAGGGGGCAAGCAGCAGGTAAGACCCGATAAAGGAAAAGGGGCAGTTTGTGTAGGTCCCACAGGCCACTGTAAGGACCCTAGCTCTTACTCTGCAAGGGCCAATGGAGAATAGTGATCTAACCTACGTTGTTAAAAAAAAAAAAAAAAAAAACAGACTATGTTGAGGACGCTGCAGAGAGGCAAGCGGAGCAGCCGAGTCTGTTAACATCCAGGTAAGAGACGCTGGTAGCTGGGCGAGGGTGGGGATGATACTGGAATTCTGGATATAGTTTTAAAAGTAAAACCTACAGAATTTGCTAATAATTTAGATGTAGGGTGTGAGAAGGAGTGGATGATTCCATGGGACTTGAAGAATGTTGGGCCAGGCAATGCATGTAAAGTGCCCGACACACAGTGGGTGCCCAGTAAGCACTGTGTTTTAAAAAAAAAAAAAGCATCCCGGTAAGAGCGCTCAACTACTAGGATGGAAGAAGAGAAGCTCTAATGATGGCCCGAGGACCCACCCCTCGGGTCTCACTTCACCCTCCCCGAAGGAAGGAAGGAAATATTTTCAGAAAGGGAAAGAAAACCAAACCCCAGCACTTACTGCTGCTTATCCTCCTTTACCTCCATGGGCTCCCACGGCCTGACACGAGGCAGCGAGGAGCCTCACGGGAAGATCTGGGACTAAGCCCTGCCGGGAAAAGGGCGCGCGGAAGGCCGCGACTGTGACTCGCGAGTTGCTAAGCGACGGCGGGCTCCCGGCGCGCGGCCTCGGAAAGCGGCTTGGAGGCGGAGCCGGAGGGCGCAGGCGCAGTAACCCAGATCGGCCCCGCAAGTTAACGGGTGCGGCCGCAGGGCCAGGCGGGGGCTGGTGGTCGGATCTCTGGGCGTCCTTCCGGGACCCGCCCCAGGCTGAACGTTCTGTGTTTGAACTTGGCCTCTCTTATCGTGCCGGGCGGAGTGTTTATTAAGGCCCTCTCTGGCCTTGGGGATCAGCAAGGGGCGGTTCCCAGAGCCTCCCCCGCGGCGCTCGGCTCTGGTGCTGGAGGCTGTACTGCCTGCGTGCCCGCAGAGCCTGGCAGGAGGCCTCCCCGGCGTTGCCCACGTCTGCCGGAGGTGGCTCCAAAAGTGCACGCAGGCAGGAGAGAAACTTGTTTACGTGAACCGTTAAATACTGTGCAAGTCATGATTCGCTGCTCCTGGGCTGACTAGTCTTTGCTTGAAAAAGCTTGGCTGTCGCTGTTCTCCACGATTTCTGGCAAATCTTCCTTCCCCGGCCCGGCAGCAAGCATTAAAATAGAGCAAGGGAACACTCATCTCCTGCAAATGAGACTCCCTGCGGTGTGTGCAGCTGCTCCAGCCTGAATGGGGTTCAGAATCGGGCGGAGGGGACGGTAGGCTATGGCAGCAGGTTGGGGTTGGTATTAGTAGCGCTTATCCAAAAAGAGACAAGTTCCTAGGAAAAGCAGTTGATGACTTGCGTCCACCTTCTGGCCCCGGATTTTCTTACCTCATTTCACCATTGCTTCCCAGTTTCCACTATCAGAGCCAAATGTCTTTGGCATCAGCCATGGTAACTCTTGCCTTTGCCTGGATATTGGGAAAAGAAAAATCCTTATTGAGTTGAATTCTGCTGTATAACCAAGCTATGCATGTGCGCATGTTTTGTAACCCAGGGCCAGTATTAGTATGTATTTACATTTACCTGGAGTAATGTGGAGAGAGTCGAGTTTGGTCGCCGGTCTCATTGTACATGTGTGAGCATAAGTCCTTCCTATGAGGAAGAAGAATATATGACTAGAAGTTTGATATCTAGTTACCTACACAACTGAGTTGGTAGAAAGAGTGGAGTGTGTGTAAATACATGTTTGGGGAATAAGGATTGGGTGGGTAAATATGTATGGGAAGAGTGGGTTGAAAACCCCAAAATGGGGGAACTAACAGTTGAGCTCCTGCTTAAGAACCAGGCGTTTGTTCAGCACTGTATTAAACACCACATACTTTCCTGGTTTTATCCTAGTCATCATTCTCTGGAAGCATAGGCCTTCGGCACAGTCAGTGTTTGAATCCTTAGTTCCACTCTTTAGTAGCTGCTTCAGTTGGGCAAATGATCTATTATCTCTGAGCTTCAATGTCTTCATCTACAAAATGAAAATACGCTTAAGGTTGTCTTCAGGTGTGGATGATTTAATACAGGCAGAGTACTGGTGTGGGGGGCCGCATACTCATGGTCAGTCCTTGGTCATTATTAGCTCGGGTTTTGATTGAGCAGTTTGATGTGATATGCTACCCTATGTCTTTTAAGACTTAGTCAACTCTCTCGTCAGTCCCTCTGATATTGATTCCATCCTTCACCAATCTCTTCAAGCTCCTAAAACCACTTACCTTCAGGGACATTCCCAACTGCTTGCTGTGAAGAAATGAGGAATTTCTCAACTTTGTCCCTTTCAAAATAAATTCACCTGCATCCATACAAAATGACAGTTGTTTGGTTCTATTTTGAGTCATGTAGTATAAGACTAAAATCTAAATATATTTATGTCAATCTCTTTCCAATTGTTAAGCAGTTCATATATATGTAGATTTATTGAGGGATGTAAGAAGCATTTTAAAAAGATAATTATGGGGGCGCCTGGGTGGCTCAGTTGGTTAAGTGACTGCCTTCGGCTCAGGTCATGATCCTGGAGTCCCGGGATCGAGTCCCACGTCGGGCTCCCTGCTCAGCAGGGAGTCTGCTTCTCCCTCTGACCCTCCCCCCCCATGCTCTCTCTATCCCATTCTCTCTCTCAAATAAATAAATAAAATCTTTTAAAAAAAATAATTATGCCTACCACAGAAAAGTCACAATCTAGTTAGGAATACAAGACATACATACTAAAAAAAAAATATGAACAGTGATACACAATAGTAGTATGTAACTAATTGTCACAAAGTGTCAAATTTCAGTACTGAGGATAATACAGTATTATAAAAATGTGCCAATTATTTGAAAATGCCCATTACTTATGATTGGTACATCCTCTGTAGGGCACTGCAAAATAATGTGGATTTTAATAGTGACTTTTTAATGTAGAAAAAGCACTGGAATGTTAGTTTTTTCTACTACTAACTAGCTACTTTGACCTAGGAGAAACACTTAAACCTGTCTGCTGTAGATTCTCATTTGTTTAAAAAAAAAAAAAGTAGATTAGATCATCTTTATGATCCCTTTCAGTGGTAAAATACAGTGATTCTGGGGGAAATCTATGTCTGAAAATCAGTGAACACACTAGCCTCAATAATACATGTAATTTTCTCATGTTAGGTAGTTTGGATTCTTGTCAGCGAAGAATAATTCAAAGTGGCTTACTAATATTGTGCAAGTTAAAAATACCAGTGCTATTTGAGCTAGAACACCATATGTGAGGAAACACAATAGGATAGAAATTGCTCATCCGAAATGTTATAGATGCAGAAAATTGTCAACACTTTTTTCAAACCATAGGAAAATGCCAAAAATAATGAAGGCACAGTTGTATAACCTGATAGGAAAAGAGAGTCCAGCTTCCTCTCAGTTCTTTATTCAGTGTTGTGATACCAGTGAGGAGCTCAAGAGTATGGCATGAAGTCAAATCTATCTCTACTTTTATTTTTTTAAAGATAGTTTGTTTTCCTCAATGATAGGTAAAGTTAAATGAGAAAATACAGAGAATTTACCCTGGCACATAGTAAGCACTCATTAAAACTTAGCTGTTAGTATTCTTCCTGTTTTTATAATTAGTAGGGCAGACTGTTCATCAAGTACATGTATTATGTTGTCTTTTTTTCATTGTCTTTACTTCATTGCCTTAGACTAAGAAATTTTTTTAAGAATTGATTTATTAGAGAGAGAGAGAGGAGCAGAGGGAGAGGGAGCCCCAATGCAGGGCTCGATCCCACGACCCTGAGATCATGACCTGAGCCGAAATCAACAAATCAGCCGCTTAACCCTGAGCCCCCCCCGACCCAGGCGCCCCTTAGACTAAGAATTTTATCAAACCAAAATATACATTAATTCAAGGGCAATGGGAATGAGAAATGTTAGGTTTGCTTATCTTTGAAAATTAATAGGTTCAAATGAATTACAGATAGGAAAGGAACCCCAAGTTTTCCTCTGGTCTAAGTTCAAAACTAATTGATTTATATTGTACTTTTAAGAGAGAGAGAGACTATAGAATATGAGGTGTGACATCTCTGAAAAGGTAAAATTCTCTAGTATAAATCATGTAGATCTCTCTGATATAAGTGATCCTGGATATATGCATGAACATGTTTATATTTGTATAATGTATACATAAAAATCTTAAAAATTTTATGAGATCTCTTGAAATAACTAAAGCAATCACAGGCAGCCTGGGTTACTCCAAAATCATTGTTAGAAATCATGAGTTTGGCAATTTACTCCATTGAAGGAAGAAAACTGTATTTTATGATTTGGGAGCATTCTAGTCACCTCTATAATTTCGTGACTCAAGGTTTATTTTAAAATAATCCACCTCTGGTATCTTACAGAGAAGCCACATAACCAAAGGATGAGCGAAGGTGGTCCTAGGCAGCTGTTAGTGAAGGACCATGTTGGTACTATAGTGGTGTCCTCCATAGAGTGGTCATGTAGTAAAGATTTATTGAATGAATAGCTATGGACATACTACTTCTTGAGAAAGGAATACAAAATGAAACATGGTTGAGGTGGTTACCATTCTCAAAAAGTTAGGAATCCATAGTCTAAGCTGTCTAGTTTTGAGGGTTTTCTGTCTTCTAGCATATTTGCTAGAAGGGGAGGCTGCTTTCCTTGTTTTCTATGAAGAATTCCAGAGATGTAGTAATGACTTGCAAGGAAGATGATCATCACATCTTATTATCTAATTATTGAGCAATCCAACATATATTCCGCACCGTGTGTCCTGGCCTCTTCTTGCTGGACCATGAGATTCATAGTTGATTCATTTAGGGTTCTCAGCTCCCAGGAAAGTGCCTTGCAAACAACAGGTCCTATCAATGAAATTATCAATGAAATTAATCCAGAAAAAATACCCAGAAAATATAAAATATATCGTACTACTTTGAGCTTTTCAGTGTTTTTAATGAACATAGGTAGTAATTGTTCAACAACTCCTTAGAGAATCTCCGCATTTTAAAAAGGGTAATTAAAACTACCTTCTAAACTAAGCAACTTAAGTTCTTAAATTTCTGCCCAATAAAATCTACCTTTGATCCCTTTGATGATACAAATTACTATTCTCTGTACTTGCCCTAGGAGAGGAGAACTAATGTTTATTGAAATTCAGGGTTAGAGCTGAGCTTAAGTCCTAGCTCTGTTTTTAAAGCTCTGTGACTCTGCATAAGTTAGTTAAATTCTTTGAGCTTTAGATTTGAACTATGTCTCTTATTAATCTTTAAAAAATAAATGAATAGTGCTTGCTTCAGCAGCACATATACTAAAAAATAAATGAATAAGATCCCAAAAGAGTAGGGATGAAAGAACTTACCTTGTAGGGTTATTGGATCAAATAAGGCAAGTGTAAAGCACCTTGCACAAAGTAGGCACCCAAAAAGTATCGTTTCCCACCACCCTGCCCTAGCCTTAACCGTGGTGGAAGCTCACTCAGCTGGAAAGAAAAACAGCGAGGATTTGTTTTTAGATCAGTCTTTTTCATACTTCAGTGCCTTTGCCTAATGTTTCTCTACCTCTTGTTTAAATCATGCCAATAAAAATGGAACATAAAGTTCAAAATAGGGTCGTCCTAATGCCACTATGGTGTGAGAATGTGTAAAAATAACTAGAAAGAGTAAACCCAGCAGATGTTTCAGGAGTGGATGTCTTCAAAACAGGAAGGCTCCGATAGGGGAGGAGAACATAATAACCATCAGAGATTGGGGGGGGGCGGTTAAAAAGGGAAAGTTTGCACCGTCTACTTGTAAACTGTCACCATACACAGTGCATCATCACTAACGTGCAGCAGTTGGAACTGATATTGAGGTGCCACAGTTGGTGAAACAGAAACAGCAATCCAAGAATAAGCACACAATCACTAGTCGCCACAGCTCCTGGTGCCACAATGTCAGCCTGGGGTGACGAGCTGCTGGGCGATGGTCATTGTTTTTATACGGATGGGTAGACCTTGAAAAATTAAAAAATGCTTTTCTGCTTTAGTACAAGTGAAGACTTAGAAGCTTCCACTTAAAAATGAGGGTTTTGAGCTAGAAGTTAGAATATCCCTTAAAAAAAAATCACGTGAGATTTTATTTTTTTTTAAGATTTTATTTATTTGAGCGAGAGAGAATGAGAGATAGAGAGCACAAGAGGGAAGAGGGTCAGAGGGAGAAGCAGACTCCCCACTGAGCAGGAAGCCCGATGTGGGACTCGATCCTGGGACTCCAGGATCATGACCTGAGCCGAAGGCAGTTGCTTAACCAACTGAGCCACCCAGGCACCCAATCATGTGAGATTTTAAATAGAAAAGTGCAACACTTTTAGTTAATAAGGGGTAGTTTACCTCAAATACCTCCTAGGCCCATCTTTTCAATCTGACACGGCAAATCAACATTTCACAAGTCATTTCCTTTAAACTATTTTTTTAACCTATCCCCTTTCCCTTATGTAATTATAATGGTATTACGTGCTCCAGGTTATAGTTAATTATTTTGGTGTTTATAAGCTTTTCAAGAGTTTGGAAACTTAGCCATTTTTTTTTTTTTTTTATCATCTTAGGGTAAGCTGGGCACAAACTTCCTGATTTAAATTTCCTTTTTTTTTTGGCTTTCTCTGCCAACATTGCTCTAAGGCTTTAATAATGGGTTGTAAGATTCAGGAAGAGAAATCTTAAAGGACTTTCCTGTATTTTAAGAGAAGGGAAACAGCTTTAGGAAGAAAGCTGGTATTTCTGCAGTTTTCTGTCATGTAGAGGACAGAGTGGGAAATACCATAGTCCTAACTTTATCATGGCTAGTCAGCATCGTGGGGACCTCATGAAGCCTTGCAGGCCGTAAGGAGCTGCCACCATGAACAAAGACCTGAGCTCCCCTGACAGAAACCCAGAGGGCAAGTCTGACCTCTCAGGGTTTCTGTGCCTTTGTCCATACATTGGGGTACCAACATCTACCCTGTCTGCCCCGGCAAGGCTAAGGGAGCAGTTGCACCCCCAAGAGCTTTGTTAAACCACCTTTTATTAGATGCATTGGTTGGGCCAGGCTAGTGTCCTCACCTCACCTTCTTGGGGTGAGTTGCAAGGGAAAAAGCAACTGCCCACATGTTAAGGACAGTTTGCCTCAGTATGCACTTTGGTAACAGACTCTCCTGTAAAACTCGTATTTTCTTTTGCTTTTTGTTTCTATTTTAGCTTCTCCCTTGTTCAGCCTTCTGTTAATCCTCATTTTAAGCTATATTTCATCTGTGTTAAGACTGTTACCTTATCTATAAGATAATCTGCTCCAAACTCTCTGTAGATGGGCCTGAATAGAGTAGAAGATGGGACCAAGTAATTAATGTTAGACTTTTGCTTTGAGTGGAATATAGTTTGATTAGATTGGATGAGAACAGAAGGCTTCACTAATGGGAAAATACAATGATTTTAATTATGTTATTTCCCTAATGAATGTTTGAGGTTACATAAAATAAAATCTGTAGAAGCCATATAATTTCATCTTGGCCATACTTCATGGGGTTATATCCCAAAGTTACTATTTTCTTTTTATCATTTCCTATTCATATATGTAAGAGTCATGGGTTTTTTTCCTTAGAATTACTACTTTTTAAACTTTTTACTTTAAGAAAATTTTTTATACTTTTTAACAGATCCATTATGGTTTTTGTTGTTGTTGTTTAGAGAGGGAAAGGGGGGGGGCAGGGAGAAGGGCAGAGGAAGGGGAAAGAGAGAATCTGAAGCAGGCTCCAAGCCCAGCCCGAAGCAGGCTCAATCTCACAACCCTGAGATCATGACCTGAGCCGAAATCAAGAGTCAGAGAGTCACTTAACTGACTGAGCCACCCAGGCGCCCCATCCATTATTAACTTTTCTTCTGAACTGAATATAGATAGAACTGAAATTCTACTTGTTTTAATATTCTTTTTGCTTCTCATTCAGTATTTGCAGGAATATAGCATAATGGTCACAAACTGTGCCCTGAAGTTGGAACCACTTCTTAATGACATGACTTTGGGAAGTTTTACCTTTCTGAACCTTAATTTCCTCATCAAAAAGTAGTAATAATTATTGTCCCTGCCTTCCTCATAGTGTTCTTGTGAGGCTGAAATAAGATGGTCCATATGTACTGCCTGGCACATGGTAGGTGCTAAGCCACTGATCAGTCAGGATTACCATTAAAAAACAAATGTCATAAGAGTTGAGATTGTCTCATACTCCTCTTTTTGCGCCCAGACCCATGCTTGGGATCCAGCAGATTCTTGGTAGATATTTCCTGAATAAATGGCAAAAATACCCAGTAAGTTTTATATAGTCCTCATTCTTTGTTTACCAGCCCACAGGTTTATTCCTGCTTCTGGAATTTTTCACTGAGAGTTATGGGTACCAGAGATTGGACTCCTGGAGTGTCCTGAAACCTTGGTGTTTAGGCAGGAAAGGTTGCATAAAGATTGCATATTTTGGGGACGTATTTTTCAGCCCTCTTTCGGCTTTGGACTTGGCACTCTTACAAGGCATGGATCTCTGTCTTCACATGGCCCTACTGATCTCATAGCTCCACAGTTTGGATCCTCTAGTCCAAATGGTGTATTTTACCATAAACCATCCTCATTTCTGCATTACTCTGTTTAGTATATGTGCTGCCGAAGCGAGCACTGCATTACTCTGTTTAAAGATACAGTTAACTTACCTGGACTCTGTTCCCTCCTATTTGGAAGAAGGAACTTTGACCTTTGTTCATGGTTTAAAAGGAAACTGTTGCTGCACTTCTAGCATCCCTCTCTCCACCCACTTTCATTCCACCAGGGAACAAACTTGCTCAGCAGACTGTCAGGACTGGACGTTGACTGGGACCATTTTACCAGCGGGTAGGATCACTGCATTAAAGGTCATTGCTCAGGGATGGTGTACTTCCTGTCCCCAGGAATTGGACAAGCCAGAAATAGTCTTTCTCAGCTGGCCTGGCCATTTTAACACTCCGTTCTACCTGCAGCTGCATGGAGCTGATGGAGCAGTCATCCAGAATCATGCAGCTATTTAGAGAGAGGCTAGAACTCAAGGGAAAGCATGGGGGAAGTAAGAGGGCTTGCTTTGGCCTCCTACTCCAAATCAGTTACTGTAATGTAGCTTTTAGTCATAGTCTAGTCTTACTCCATTGTTTAACTGGGTCCTTGTCCAGTTAATGAAATCATGACTGTTTGCTATTGGGCTGTCATTTCTTGTCTATATACTTCTTTGGCAGAGAATCCCAGAGGTAAGACCAAGGCCATGTGCAAAACCAAACCCTTAATGTCTTTCTCCATCCAGTCCAATCTAGTTCACTAAAACTTTTTAGACAACCACTGTAAGGATCTTCTTCTAAAGCTAGACCTTCTGCAGGATTAAGAGAGGTAGCCTATTCAGATCTTCTCCTATTTACCCTGTTAATGAGGGAGAGAGTCTTGCCCTACAGTTACGGGGATGGTTGAACACATGACACCTGACCCTGGACAGATGACACCATCCACAGTTTCCTAGTCACACAGCCACAGAGATGGACACCATGCCTTGCGGAGCCACATGGGGGTTTCATCAAGAATAGAATGAACACCCCGAGGCTGTGGGAGGCAGGCTTTGTAGTGTCAGGAAGATGAGGTCACCCCTGGTTTCCACTGGGGAATGTGAATGGCTTGTTTGACTAATTTTGCAGGCTGGCAGGGAATTAAACTTGCTACTCAGGGATAAGGAGGAAGTGCATCTGGTCCCTTGGAAGGGAGGTTGTTAGGCCAGCAAACCTTTTCCCTGGGAGCAGATGGGGAAAGAGAATTTGCAGTTGGGCCATTTGAGCTCCTCCTGATGTCATCCAGTGTCAAGGCAGTGCATAATATTGGGCCTTAATTTTTTAGGATTTACACCACACAGACTATACTAACATAACATCATTCATTCATTACCTTGGAATTTTATTCTAGATGTGTGTTTGTGAAGGTCCGTCATTCCCAGTAAGATTGTGAGCTATTCAGGGACAGCCAGCACTTAAAAAACTGTGCACATTATGGTTTGGAAAAACCTGCTTTGCATTAAAATGACCTGTCCTATCTCAAAGTGATATTGTCAGTTGTAGTCCTATGAATACCATTTAATACACCAAGTTCTGTCCTTGGATGTGGTTAATTTTTTAAATGTAGCAAAGCTTGGAGCACTGAAGGATGTGCTAGGTAGAACTTAAACTTGTATCGGTGAAGAGCTTGAACTCCTGGCTGGCGACGTTGCCCACATACAGCCCTCATTCCGCTGACTTCAAGCCCTGTGACAGGCCCTGAATTGACAGCTCCACACATTTAGAATTACCCCCATGTGCTGACATTCGAGAAGAGCTGATGTGGTTTTTTC